TATTTATATAATATATATTACAAAAATAATATATATATATATATATATATATATATATATATATAAATCATATATGATATATGTAAAATGTAATCAAACAAAATTTATTAAATAATAATAATATTAAAATGAAGGTTATTATCCTATAAGTTTATGCATAATACTGAAAAAAGAAAAGAAAAAAGAATTTCATTTAATTTTGACTCTACTTCTTTAAATTCAAATTACAATTCTGCACTCAGTTTGCTACCTCAATTCAAATTCAGGAATTGAACTGGAATTTTGAAGTCATTCATAATTCAGTTCTGAATGACACAGAAGCCTGAAAACTGAGCACAGAGCGAGACGGATCCATGGATCCCTTCAGCAGAAGGGCGTCACACAGGCAGACGTTAAGACAAGCATTGCACATGGCACTCTGAACAGAGAAGAAAGGGAAGCAGAGGAGGATGAGGGAATGAGGGAAAACGAGGGGGAAGGCAGACGTGCATTACAGAAGCATGCTCTACAAAGAGCCTCCTAACAAACACACATAACAGAAACCGGCGAGGGCTTTCCAACGTACAACAGCGACCCAGATACGACCCTTCCTCACAGCGAGGTGCAAAGGTTCATGCCAATTATAATCACACTACCCTGGCTCTTCAATCTACTCGTCTAATTGGTTTCATTACGCACATCTCACTAGGCCCTCCAAAGTTCAATGGGTGCTTAACTTGTTATTGTTTCCTTTTTTTTTGAAAATTAAAAAAAAAATCAAAGTTTATGCTGTTTTCAGCAAGAGATACTAATCAAATAAATATGCAAATGATAAATATTAATCAGAGTGCGTTGTCACCTGGGGCGTTGATTCCCAGGCACCTCTTTTCACGGAGCTCTTGCTCAATGACATTGTCAGTAAGTCTGAGCCCATTGTTAGTCTTTATGAGTTACTGCCATGGGAACAGAGAGACAGACAGGCAGAGACAGAAAGCTGGTATATTCTGAGGGTCTGTTCACTTTACACAAGCTATGAAACATCCTCTGGACAATAATGACAGCTGTGTATTTAGGTCGGCTTCATTTGCAGGATCCATCTTGCTCTGCTTAGAGAAACGGGCTGCTTTCTTTCCTTATCATTAGGAGTCCATTACGGCTGGCACACCCACCGAGTTATGGAGTTCTGAAATTACATTGGATGGAGCTGAGCCATGATAATGCACAAAGATCATCATTCAAGGTCTCATAGACTTCAGTCAGAGCAGACGTTTTATTTAATTTGATGTAAATGAAAATGAGGCTGTGAAGGACGGAAATAGCCCGTTAAATATATTGTGCTGGCGTATAGCGTTCGTTCAACCATTGAAACCTGGAAAACAGATTCCCGGTGGACATAACACAAGTGTGGTGGAAATTGTGAGCGCAGGACCTCATTTAAACTAACAAAAAATATTAATTATATTAATATATAATATATATATACAGTATATATAAATACACTACTGTATAGCACCACGGTCATCACAGTACAATACTAAATAGACTGTATTTAAACATGGATATAAATATGAATGTTATGGTATTACCATGTGATACCATAACTATACCATCTGCAACAGAACAACTATGATTTGACTAAAAACATTGCTGTAAAATAAATAAAATGTTTAATGCAAAAAGTCTTTTTTTTTTTTTTTAATAATTATGGTTACAATGAATGTAAAGAATTGTTTTGCATGAAAAATGCCATATGGAGACTTCCAGCCGTCTAACAACATGCTCTTCATGAACTTGATGACAAAATAAAAATCATTCATCACAACACTGCTCAATTTTACATCGGCAGCAAAAACCTTGCAAACTAAATATGAATATTCAATATAATTGCCCAACCCTATCTTTTGTCACTCCTAAAATGACTTTGACACGGGTGTTCTTAGACTCATCTGCTGCCTCGCACATCCAAACAACAGACCGAAAAACCCACGCTGACATTAATAGGACCTGAACTCTCTATACAACACCATATTTTAAAGCTCCATCAACAGAATGCAGGTAGACTTTCAGATGAGGAACCACAGTCTTGTCTTCTGTATCTTCAATCCTTTGTTCTCAATCTTTCTACTTTCACAGTGTTTTCTGTTTTCCTTAGAGCTGCAGTCTCTTGTTGACCTTTCTCAGTACTACACATTTCTTTGATTTTAGAGCGAATCGTCTCTTGACGAGAGCTGCTGACACAGTGACCCAGCTCTGCTTGTCTCCAAAGACAACGGGAAGCAGATGAAACCATGTCAGACACTGGAAAAAGTACTGACATGCTCAGCGTTTGAAATGACTCTTGTACACACAGCTTCTCTGCTATTGATTAGCGTGTGACAAGAGGTCCATTTAGAGGTTTTCCACTGTGGGAAAGGTGAGCTTTGTCACGCTTGAGTGTCTTCTAAAGGACCGAAACACACTTTAGTAAAACATAGACTTCACTTGGGCCCTTGTCAGTATGAAGGCGGTCTATAATACCCGCAGGAAGCTACTGTAGCTGTTAGCATTCCTATTGACAACATCTAATGGGAACATGCTAAAAAGCAAAACCTGAAAAAGTCTGGATGGATATAACCGAAAAAGAGAGAGAGAAGACAAAGAATGTGACAAAAGCAAAACAAGACGACCAAGCAAAGCAAACTTTTTCTGCATTTACACATCAAACTGAGAGCAGGTGTCCAAAGAACAAGTCTTTCGCTCATCAATGCTCCGTATCTTCCTCGGCATGAAAGGCAGTCAGCCTGGCTCAGGTCCGCCACGGAGCTTTTGATGTTTAATTAATGTTCTGTTTGCAGAATATGCAAATGTAAATAAATGTATTAAAAAACATACTGTAACTTGCCACCAGCGAAAGCCTGAAAGGACCAAAACATTTACTTTGTCAGAAATAATGAAATAAATCCAAAGACACGAGCACTACTCCTCTTTGTTCATTTATGCATCTTTTCGCTGAAGACTGGAAAACAATCCTAATGAGTCATAGAGGCTGATAGTGAGAAGAGAATAAAGAAGAGAGAGGGAAGGGAAAAAAAGGAAAGATTCATCCAGCACTATAGTTGCCACATATGTGCTGCCAGGGAGTAGGACACACATAGCATTCAGAATAAATAAGAGGGATATTTCTGTACCGTTAAAATGCTCTCAAAATCTGAACCTTGCCAAAACAGCCATGGATACACGTCCCATAATTAACACACTGTCCAGGTCCTGTTTTTTTCCCTTTCAAGCCTTTTTTAATAACTGCTGCAATAATTTTGAGGTGTTTAATGCATTTTAGTATAAAGTGGAGAGTGGCGCACGAAACTACCTCTGAATTACTGTACTTGCATAGAATTTATTTCTTGATTTTAACGCAGAACATTTGGTAGATATGCCAGGTGTGCACTGCAAAAAAAATCATTCAATATTTTTGTCTTGTTTGCAAGCAAAAAAAAAAGTAATTATTCATAAACAACTTTAAGAAATTATATATTTATTTTTCTAAGATAATTAACATATTCTGTAAAAATGAGACAAGATGTAGATTTTCAGCTATTACTAACCAAAAAGCATCAAATATACTCTTGTGTTGTTAAACAAGTACAATTTAACCATAAAAAGCAATGTCTGACTCTTTTTTAAATATTTTGAATCTCATGGATATTCAGCTCCTATGGCCTTATGGGATGTCCAAATGTCCAAAGGTAGCACACTTTGCAGATGCAGTGGGTCATGCAGGTATTGCTCGCCTGCATATTCGGGCATCTTATGCTTTACTACACTGCTTCTTATATACTGTATAGGAGGGAAGTACACACTAGAACTCAAGGGAGAATGCCAAAGGGATGTGCCACACAAGTGCGCAAACGTTTCAAGCAACGCAAGCCCATAAACTTTCTTCTTCTATGGCCAGTCTTCAATCTTCACTGAGCGACTTATAAATATATTTAGTACTTTTTTATTGTCATTTTTGAATGGCAGCATATAGTTTAATGTCAGACATTTGACAGTAACCCTCTTGCCCTCGAGCAATAGTTTTCTGTTGCCAGAGTGATGCCAGGACACTTTAAATATGGGAATGCTCACTGCCACATTTTGACAGAGTTTTTACATCTGCATACTTGCATAGATTCTGTTTCTATCCTTAAGTGTAACAGAGAAACTAACATAGCTCCTATCAAGGGGGCTACATGCATGCATCCATGCAAACCGGTTGCGGGGCAATAACAGGGACAGAACGATTGGGAAGCACTCTAAAAAAAGAAGAGCTCCATGACCTCACTTCCCTTCCAAATAGTGCCATGAGGGCTGGAGCTGCAGGGAGGGCCACTCCAACCATCCTCCATCACGCGAACAAACACAAGAGACAGAGACAAAGATGTACAGGTAGAAAAGAAGGACATCAAACCAGCCCTTTGAGGGCCCCCTGAAGGAGACCCACAGGTCAGAATTCCAATAAGAAAGGTCAGAGGTTGAACTCTTCCCCGCTCGCAACGAATGGTGTGTCCGGCGGCGGCCCTGAGCAGATGTCACACGGACAAAGACAGACAGAGAGACACACTGGAACAGAAAAAACAGTTTAAAGACAGCCAAAAAAGGACATAAAAGGACAAAGGGGGAAATGACAAGACATTTCAACATGGAAGGACTGGCGTGGACGACTGGCACTGGAGGGGTGAGGACATGAATGAAACATGAAGTCAGCGTTTCATGTGTCATCGGAGCTGATGGCAGAATGAGAACGGCGTGGAAATGAAAGAGAATGAGCACCTTCCACAAGAGTTTCCCGCAGGACACAACCAAACACAAGCAGACATACAATGCTAATTAAACAACATCTATTTCGCTAACATAAAATTACAAGAACACACAGAAAAACGTTGCCCAATTCTCCACACTCACCACAGGGCCCTTGTTGCTTGATGGGGATGTCTGTTTCGGTCCGGCACTCTTCGAGTTTCCTCTCGCAGTCGTTGGGGTATGTCTTTCCGTCCTTTCCGCACAGGGGCTTGTACGTGCCGTCACATTGTATGGGGTCGCAGGAACACTGAAACTCTCCGTTTTCCAGCAAACACATGGCGTTGAACTTACAACCGTTCGGGCAGCCCCCTGGAGACCGGAGACACACGCATACATGTGTCAACAATGTGAAGAACGGCAGTAACCGTCCTGGTGCTAATCAACACTGACTGGAGGCATCTCTCTTTCTCTCTCGCTCAATCAGACATCGGATATTGACTCACTCAGGGGTTTTGAATTAATTACCGTGCCTGATTATTTAATCAATTATCTAATTCCATTCAGATTGATTTGGGGTGCTTTTTTTTCCCACACAGAGTTGTGTTAAGCTGTCACAGACAGGCAGTGGCGGTGTGTAATTACAGCAGCCTTTCATCTGTTTGAGAAAATTAAGAGACCTAATATGTTATTGTACAATCTGAGCTTGATTTATGTTTGATTGCATTATCCAACCTATCTTTAAGGATGTGACATACATGTTGATGAAATTGGACTTACAGGAAGCTATAAGAATGGAAGTGGAATTTCGTGAACTACATGAAACAGCTATCACAACCCTATTACTTCCACAGTGTGACGTATTTGTGAGTAAAAAGAGTACTTAATGAGATCAAATCTAGGGCAAGACTTGATTTAATCCATCGGGAATTGTTTGGATTGCGAAAACTGGGAGTTCCACATAAGATCGGACCTATGAGAGATTGCTGAGGAGAATTTCAATCCTTAAACACAGCTGGTGTTGTGAAATATCTATAACCCTGCTCTGTGACACTCAGATCAGATCAAAAAAGTAGCAAGTTATCACAATATTTTGTTCTAACTAATCAAGAAAGTAGGGTGCCATTTTCCCAGGACGCGTCCTGGGAAAATGGCACGTATGGTCACCCTAAAGAAAGGCCTTTCTTAGCTAGTTAGCATTGTGCTATGCTAGCAGGCTAAGCTGTAGCTAGTAAACAACATCTTACCAAAGCTAAAAAATGTAAGGTGACCAGATTTCTGAATAGAAATAGGACAATTAAACATCCCACTTTTTTGTGCCTTCATTATCCTTTAGTTAGCAAACTAACAGCTTAGTGTTCTAGCGTAGCATAGTGCTAACCTGCACTAAAAGGCTCTTTTGATTAACAATAACATGCTCCATCTGGAATTACTGTGAAAACTGGGTGCTTCAAACAAGAACAGACCTAAAAGAGAGTTTTCAGTTTATTATAGAGCACTCTCTCTTGAAAAGCTGCTGGTGTAAATATCAATCCAACCCACATAATCATATCCCCTCTGGAAGTCTTTGTAATGTCTGGTCAAAAATGTAGCATATTATCACAATATCTTGTTCTAACTAATGAAAATATAGCCTTTGTTTAGCCAGTTAGCTCTGTGTTAAGATAGCAGGCTATGCTAAAGAAAATATTAGCAAAGTTAAAAATGGTGACTAAACATGCAGTATCCCTTTCTTTGTTTTCATTTAACCTTCAGTTATCAGCTAAGCCTACTAGCACATTATATTACTAACTGTTTAAGAAAGACTCTTTTGATTATCAATAACATGATACATGTTTGATCAGGATCGGAGGTATCTTGAACATCTCTGGCATCGACTTTGAGGAGGTTTTGAGATATGGAAATAGAAAATTATGGTAATAATAGCAAATAACATGTATTACATTAACACTAATGATGTGAGTGATACATTTTGATTCACATATTGACTGAGCAGATCCCAAACACATGTTAACATGCTAGACACGTATCTAACAAAGTAAGACATTCATCGGAGACAAATACTATTGTTTCTCGAGTTACACCGGCACAGAAACAGTTGCTCTCTACTGGGACAACAGTGGCCCACAAATAACACTGCTATCGCTCACGGCACAAACACAGTTCAGACACAGGCACACACACATACACACTAAGCCACTGTTCGCACACTATCACAGCTGAACACACACTCTCTCTGCACTTTGCCACAGGGCTTCAGAGCGAAGCAGGGACGATCTTTTCATCACCTGTGAAGATACAGTCTTGCCACAATACACCTGCCAGAGCCCGACAGGCAAATTGGATTTGTGGAGATTGGTATCGTGTAGGCATGACAGTACTGCTAACCTGACTTAATTTGTCCAGAACCTCCTCACCGCAGCCATGACAAAATAAATCAAATGCGGCCGTAGGGCTCCTTTATCAGACACGAGCATGAGCTCCTGGGAGTCTGTGACATCTCTGCTTTAGGAGGAACTCACCTTTCTCCTTGCAGCTGCCTGAAGAGACCTTCTTGAGCTCCAGGTTGTTCTGCAGGGCCGTCCGCTCCATCTGACACTCGCTATAGTAAGTGTGGCCGTCGCTGGCGCAGATGAGTGTACTGTCGGGCGGGCAGGAATCGGCTGGGGCGAAGGTAAACTGCTTGTAGGTCTTTGGGTTCACCCGACAGGCCACACTCAAGCTGTTCAGAGTGTCACTGCAAGGATCTGTGGACAAGAGTGGAAAAAATGATGGTAATTCATGACTTTCATTGTATTTTGTTGATCTAATGTTGATAATCTGAATTTAAATATTGCCAAAATGTTACCAAATACTACCAAAGCTTTCTTTGTGTTTTCATTTAGGCATCAGTTACAATACTAACAGCTTAGCTTATTAGCGTAGCATTGTTCTTTTGATTAGCTATGCCATACTATGGAATGGGGACACAATACCAGCATCCATTCTGTTGCCTCACGGTTACATTTATTGGGCCTTTTTGTCACTATTTTTAGTAAAGACTTTTTTTTGGTGTTTTTGCCTTTATTGTTATAGGACAGTGTAGATGAGACAGGAGGCAAATTGGGAAAGAGGGGGGGAGGGATCGGGAAAGATCCTCGAGCCGGTATTCGAACTCGGGATGCTCGTAGCAAGGCAATCTGTGCAGACTCACTATTATTTTTAACAGAAAATGTAAAACCGTAATGTTATGAAGCTAGACTGACATGGAAGAGAAGAACTGTTGAATAAAGTTTATATTTTTGTTTTCTTTGTGCACAAAAAGTATTCTTGTAGCTTCATAACATTACGGTTGAACCACTGATGTCACATGGACTATTTTAACTATGTCCTTACTATGTCTTTAGTTGCATTGCTGTCTATGCAGGGTCAGAAAGCTCTCAGATTTGATCAAAAATATCTTAATTTGTGTTCTGAAGATGAATGAAGGTCTTACGGGTTTGGAACGACATGACGGTGAGTAATTAATGACAGAATTTTCATTTTTGGGTGAACTACCCCTTTAATCAAATAAATGCAACCTTCTTTCAAAAACATTAAATACATAAATCTTACCATCCCCAAACATTTGAACTGCAGCACATGTACATTTTTCCTGAAGATCTTGATTAACTTTTTTGATAAAAGTTGGATTTAAACTCTTAAGGACAGCGCACCTCCAGGACCAGTTTCTGGTATCTGAGCACATGCCCTATCCACTACTCTACAGCAACAATACCATTTTTTTACTAGAATTTTCTTCTTTTTCAAAGCATCTTCTAGGCACTATTGATGGAGCTGTTGTCAGTGGCATGTCATTTATTGAGAAGAAATACTGAAAAGTGAAAAGATAAGGGTGACAGCTGACGGGACAGGAGTGATGAGTATGTGGGAGCTGATGGGTCTTTGTGGCTGCAGGGGGCTCCAGGCCCTGGCCCTGTATGGCAAGATCATAATTGTAATAGAAATGCCATGATGGTTATTGAAATAAGTGTGACAGTTTCGCCAGCCTCCACACTTTTCAGAAACAAGATGGCACAAAGGACTTATCAGCCGTTGTCGTGCTAAGACAATGCCGAGCCACGAGCGAGTTGCACAATCGCGGGAGAGAAAGAAGCACGGAGACAGAGAGGAAAAAAGACAAGAGAGACAGAGACAGAAAGGACAGAGGAAATTAGACAAGAAAGACAAAACACGTAAACAAATCAAAGAACGAGAGGAGAGGAAGAACACAGGCAAATAAAGAAAACAAGAAAATAGGAACAAAATAAGCGGGAAATGAAGACAAAGCCACAGAGATAGAGAGACATCATGAAAGCAAATAACACATGCACACTAGGGATGTATAACACTACATATTTTCAGAATCAACTAGCCAGTGGCTTTTTCCTGAATGACTAGTCAACTAATTAGGCTAGAAATGAACTAGTCAGCTACCAACCCACCCTAAATGCACACAACTCAAATTCAATACTTCCAGCAATAAATAAATAGATTCTTAGTCAGTATTTTTGTCTTGTTTTACAAGAAAAAAATATCTAAGCATCCTTACAACAAAATAAATTTACTTGAGAAGCCAAAATGATCAGATTAAGAAAATTATTATTTGCAGCGACAGATCGTACCACATAAAGAAAGGGATCAAAGTACGGACATCCAAAAAAGTCTTGGCCAGATGCAAGATCAAAAGGTACATCAAATAACAGAAAAATGATCTGCACACTGTTATTCTCCCTTTATTCAAAAAAGTTAAAAATAGCAATGTTTCGGTCAAAGACCTTCGTCAGGCAAACACGCATACAAGCAAAAGCAAAGGCAAAAGCTCAATAAGTACTCAGATTCAAACAGAGTTCCAATTAATGACACCTGTTAGTAATCAAAGTCAATCATGTGAACAGCTATAGTATATCTGTAACGGGGCTGACGAGACGTGAGACGTGTGGATCCATCTGCAGGCTTTATTAAAGAGACGTGGTAAACAGGCAGGGTCAAACAATGGCAAACAGGTATATGGCGGGCAAAACACAAGAATAGTCCCAGGGCTAGCGTAGGTCACCGATCGGCAGACAGAATCACAGGGGCGAGACGAGAGGGAAAAATCCAGGAAAACAGGCAAAGATCAGAAACCGCGAAAACAGGCAAGGCAAGGCAAAACAAGGAAAACACAGACTCGGAATGGGGTACGGGCTAAACAATACTCAGCAGAGAAAGGTGGTTAGAGTGGGTGTTATATAGTGAGTGAGGTGATTAGAAACAGCTGTGTGCAATGAGTGCAATCAGTGCAGTGTGCAAATCGTGCAAAGAATGATGGGATATGTAGTCCGGGGTGCTATGCAACAGTTTGTGTTGTGCGAGAGTCAATGTAATGGAAAGGGTGACCTCTGGTGGTGAATAAACGGAAGTCCATGGACCGAATTCGTGACAACACAAGGTCCCCAGATAATACTAATCCCCTGCGAATAGGGCTAAAGACCTTCGTCAGGCAAACACACATACATGCAAAGGCAATAGCTCAATAAGTACTTAGATTCAAACAGAGTTCCAATTGATGACACCTGTTAGCAATCAAAGTCAATCATGTGAACAGCTATAGTATATCACATTTAAAACAAGGCAACCACATTGAGGCAAAAATTTAAATACAACCATAATATCAAAAAAATCCCCAACACCAAAACACTCCCCCATCTTTTTTATAATTCTCAATTACTTGTCCTAGAACTAATCAATGCATAACTATACAACACATATTTAGGTACAAACGAGAATGTATCAACAACATTCACCTTTAAATACAAAAAATATATCAATTAGAAGCATGAGTTAAAGTCAAGTTCTAAATTCAAACCCTTAGGGGAAAGATTATTTAGTGTATAACTATAATAAGCTTCTCTTTTTAATAAGATATTGTTGACATCACCACCTCTCCTAGGTACTTTAACATGTTCAATTCCAATATACCTAAGTGTGGAAAGGTTATGCCTTTTTGAATTAAAATGTACTGCTACCGGGTTTTTTTGGTCATTTGTGTGTATACTGCTTCGATGTTCTGCAATCCTAGTTTTTAAAGCACGTTGTGTCTTTCCTATATATGCCAAGCCGCATGGACATTTGATCATATAAATAAAATTTTTAGTAGTACAAGCGATGACACCCTTAATTTTAAACTCCCTTCCTGAATGAGGATGAGAGAAGACATTCGTTTTTGTAGTGAAATTACACTGGGCACAACGACCACAACTATAGTTACCCGAAGGGATAGATAAAAAATTAGTGGGTCGTTCTACAGATAAACTAACATCAGCTCTTACAAGGAGATCACGTATATTAGGAGAGCGTTTATACACAAACCTTTGTGTTTTTTCAAAGATATCACTGAGGGGAGGATCAGATTTTAAGATATACCAGTGTTTATCTATGATCTTTTTTTATATCTGAACAAATAGGAGAATATTGAACAGCACATACAATGGTTTTATTTTCTGATTTTAACCGTTTTTTATTTAGAGATGTCTCTTGATTTTCATTTCCAAATCTCCTAACTGCAGACTGTATCCAATCTTCATTGTAACCTCGCTCCCTAAATCTGTTAACCAGATCAGTGCTTTGTTGTGTATATGACTGTTCAGTACTACAAATTCGACGTATCCAGTTAAATTGACTAATGGGCAAGCTACGTTTCAAAGTTGTAGGATGGTAGCTCTCTGTCCATGCAAAAGTGTGTTACGATCAGTGGGTTTTCTGTAAAGATCTGTGATTATTTTTTTGCCATTCCTAATAATACGAATGTCCAAAAAACTAACACATGAATCATCATAATTAACTGTAAAACGTAAGTGTTCATCACTAGTGTTAAGAAAACTGTGAAATTGTAGCAGTTGATTTTCAGTACCTGACCATAACATAAAAATATCATCAATATCTTCGCCAAAGTGCAATATTTGAGAGAAAGGGATTTTGTAGACCATTAAAAATAAATTTCTGTTCAAAGAGGCCCACATACAAGTTTGCATAATTTGGGGCCATGGTACTGCCCATGTCGGTACCCTTAATCCTGAAGAAAGAAATCATCTTTGTATCTGAAATTTTTTTTTGTCAACACCATTTTAGCTAATGTTTTAATGCAATCAACACTAGGGTTTTTGTTTTGATGTGGGTCTCTAAGAAAGACTTCTATTGCCTCAATCCCTCCTTCATGTGGAATGTTGTTGTATAGAGACTCAACATTGAATGTTACAAACAATATTTCATCAGGTAAAACAATGGATTTAAAATTTTTTATCATATTGATAGAGTCTTTTACAAAGGAGGGCAATGTAAATACAACTGGCTTTAAGAAAAAATCCACAAATGTTGAAATTTTCTCAGTAAGAGACCCGATTCCAGATATAATCGGTCTTCCTGGAGGATTAGTAAGGTCTTTATGTATTTTGGGAAGTATATAAATGACTGGTGTAACTGGATAATCAACCTTCATAAAATCAAACTCCTGTTTTGTAATCTCACCAACATCCACAAACTGTTGAAGGTATTCCCGAATTTCGTTCTTAAAAACATTGGTGGGGTCAGTACTCAATTTCTTATAAAAGACTTCATCACTTAATTGTCTTTCCACTTCTAGGTCATAGTTAGCAAAATTCATTACTACAATGGAACCACCCTTATCTGCTGGTTTGACTATAATAGTCTTATCTTTTCTTAAATCCAACAGAGCACTTCGTTCATCCTT